ATTATTTGTTTGTATTATTTATTTGTTACTTATTTTTATTATAATTATTTATTCGTATTATTTATTTGTTACTTATTTTCTTTATAATTATTTATTTGTTACTTATTTTCATTATATTTATTTATTTGTATTATTTATTTGTTACTTATTTTCATTGTGTAAGAACTTTAAGCACAAGCTTGGTACGCTGCTAAAACCAAAAGCAAAAATAAATCATTCAACCGGTGGGAATGTTGGAATATTGTCAAAGATTGTCTTAAATTTAGAGTTGTGCCAGTCGGTCCAGAAGTGAACATGAACAGCACCCCTCTACACTCTACATCCGATCATGTTCATGAAGATGATGCAGAAGAAGTGCCCGAAACGCCCCTCCTTGAACAAGCGTCGGGTTCGACCCGTTATCCAATTAGGCCTCAAAGTAAGAAGGTTTCAAAGAGAAAAGGGAGTGCTTCCAAGAATGATTATGCAAAGTTCATGGAAGAACTTACTCGCCAAGGTGAATTGACTTTGGCGAGGGAACTGGCGAAATATGAGGCTGATAAGGCTAGAGATAACGCAAAAGCAGTAGCTATTGAGAGAGAATTTCATGCTAATGAGAGAGAAAGAGAGCTACTTAGGCAAGAAAGGGAACATGTTAGAGAAGAAAGACGGGCTCAACAAGATCGTGAGATTATGAACATGCCTTTAGAAGGGAAGTCTCCAAATTCTAAATTTTTTTGGAAGTCAAAGAAAACGGACGTGGTGCGAAGGAGGCGTGCAAGAGAAGAGATAGCAAGCCAAGGTGGTTCTAGCACCACAAGAGAAGATCATCCTAGCACCACAAATTGGTTAAGTGATGATGAATAGAGTACTTTTTGTAATCAGAGCCCATAATTTTCCAATCACTTTGGGTTGTAATTTATTATTTATTGTTTGTATTATTTATGTTGTTTCCAATTTATTGAATATTTATTCAAATTAATTTGATAAGTTATTTATACTAAGAGAATATTTATAAAAGAATATTTATTGAAATGACAAAAACACACCAAATAAAATTGCATAAGCATACGGAATAATTAAAAACTCACTAAAAAAATTACATAAACATACTAAATAATAAAACACACAAAATAAAATAACATAAACATACCAAATTCAAAAAAACACACTAAATGAACTTAATTATCTTCAGCTTGTTTCAATGCCCACTGGTGCTCTATCAAGTCAATTTGTCGGGCATTGTGCATGTATGGCATTTGAAATGCAGTATATCGTTGAATGAGCCTTTCGTTGTAACGTCCATCCCTTTGTAATGGCTCATGTTGCACGGACTCATCGGTGACATCATGAGCACAATATATACGTGTTCTTGAATTGTTCATCGTGTCTGACTCATATTCATCAACGGCTTCATAATCGTACTCATCTTCCACAATCATGTTGTGAAGAATGATGCACGTCATCATGATGGATCGAAGCGACTCTACATCAAACAATCTGGCAGCGCCCCTGACGATCGCCCAGCGAGCTTGGAGGATACCGAAACAACGCTCCACATCCTTCCTGCACCCCTCTTGACAGCTTCCAAAGTGTTTTTCCTTTGCACTCCGCGGACGTGGCACTGTTTTGACAAATGTTGACCATCGCGGGTAAATGCCGTCAGCTAGGTAGTATGGGTCGTCGTACATACGTTTGTTGATCTCATACGTAACTTTTGGTGTCTTTCCTTGCAGGACATTGTTGAACACTGGAGATTAGACAAGGACGTTGATGTCATTTTGAGCTTCCGGGACCTCGAAAAAGGCGTGTCAAATCCATGTATCAAAAGATGTCACTGCCTCCAGAATGATACTTTTTGCTCCTTTTCTGTCTTCGTAAGCGTCTTGTTATGCACTTAGACAATTTTTCCACGTCTAGTGTATACAATCAATGCTTCCAATCATCCCAGGAAAGCCACGCATCTCCGTCTTCTTCAACAGCCGTTCCAAGTCCATGTTTGTAGGTTTGCGGAGGTACTCAGCAGTGTAGATAGATTCGATTGCTCCGCAAAACCTCATCAAGGACTCAAGAATGGTTGATTTCCCCATCCTCGTTATCTCATCCACTTGGTCTGCAGATACTCCATATACAAGCAGCCGTAAGGCAGCAGTAATTTTTTGCTCAAGCAGTAGACCCATAGCACCAAAAGCATATTTCTTTTGCACAAAGTAAGAATCATGGTTGCAAACAGCAATCATGATTTTGTTGAACAAATGTCGTTCCATTCTAAAATGACGTCTAAAGTACGTATCAGGGAATGCACTATTAGGAACAAAATAATCATCCAAGAGTTCCATACCTCGTCGTTGCCTGCTTCTATCAAGGTTTCCGGAATGGCTGGGGCTGCAGATCTGAGCCGAAACTTGGATGACTCGACGGGAATGTGAGGTTCTGCCCATTCTTAATTCGTCATCTCTCCTTCTACGCTCCTTATCCTTTTCCCTCTCATTTTTTGCCCCCTGTTGATTGAACATTGCTTCTGATTGGTTAAACAATTCTTCCTCTTCCTGATCGAATTCCCACATCATCCTTGAGGAAGAAGAAGACATTGTAAGAAATAAGCAGAAACTATGAATAATGATACAGATTTTTGTGAAGAAGGAAGCAGAAACTATGAATAATGATAGAGATCTTGAGAAAATTGGTGTGAGATTTGTGAGGATGGATGGTGGATTATATAGAAGATTCAGAAATGATTAAGTTGTACATAATGTCACGTGACATGCTGTCATTCGTTAAAAATTTGATGGAAATCTATCCTCAAAGATTGTGAAAAGATTATGACACGTGGCATGCCGTTATTCGTTAAAAATCTAATGGAAATCTATCCTTAAAAATTGTGAACAGATTATGACACATGGCGCGACGTAATTGGTTAATAATCTTATCAGAAATCCATCACTAATAATTGTATTTTCGGATAATGACACGTGGCATAACGAGTACGATTAAAAAATTTATCTGAAATCCATCCCCAATAATTGTCTTTTCGGATTTTATGACAAGTGGCGTAACGACAACGATTAAAAATCTTATCCGAAATTACAAATAAAATTATTTTGTATTATTTAATAATATTTCGGATAATAACATGTGGCGCAACGAAAACGATTAAAAATCTTATCTGATATTACAATTAAAATTATTTTGTATTATTTTATAAATAAAAAAAATACTAATATTTTATTGCCTATTGCTAGGGCTATTGAAGTGTAACGGTGGAGATGCAAATACTATTGCCATGGCTATTACTGTTCATTAAGGGCAATTACTGTTTATTAGGTGGATTGAATAGTGCATTGCCTGGAGGGAGGACTCCAACGCTGGAGTTGCTCTCAAAGAGGATTCCCTCCTTCCTTTTGATCCACCAAATCAGAGAATTCGTGCCGTTAAAATTTGATCAAACGGCTAAAATTATTATAACTTTTCAAGTGAGCCTCTGTTTGTAGCCGTTTGATCAAATTTCAACGTCACGGATCTCTTGATTTTATTGATTAGAAGGAAGGGATCCAGAAATGATTCCTTTCCTATCTCTTCCTATTCAAAATTCTTCACATCCAATTCATAAAATTGTGTGCTACCGATTATATTGCAAATCATTTTGTAAACATTATTTTCGAAAAAAAATCAATTAAAACTAATGTTTTTTAGTAAATCAATTATTGTCAATAGATAGACGATTTAAGTACTACAAATGATTGACTAAATGAATTGTGTATGTATTTACTACATTTTGATTGTGACCTTAGTTTTAGTTGTTTTTTTTTTTTTTTTTTTTTTTGCAGATATTATATTTACAAAGTAATGTATGATACGAATGGTCGGGATCATAAGCACGAAATTCTGCAAACGAAAAATTTTGAGTAGAAATTCTATACTCATCATTGAGCAACCAAGTATTATTCAAAAAGAAATCGTAGGAGAAGATTGAGAGATTGTTGCATGTTTGGTCATAGAAGTATCGGTTATAAGTAGGAAATTTTGTGAAAGAAAGAATTTGAGTAGGAATCTCCTGCTCATCCTTAAGTAGACTAATTAAAAAGAAATCGTAAGAGAAGGTTGCGAGGTTGCAGCTGCTGCACCTCTCGACTTGAAACATGTAAGTTCATACCTAAGACAAGTAACTGGAAAATCCTAGCCAGTTTCAACCCTTTGCAAACTTCAAAAAATCATAGCAAAAACCTAAGAGCCCGTTTGGTATCTTATTTGAAATTTTTTATCATTTCTCAAAACATTTCTTAAGAACATTTCTTGAAAATAATTTTCTTTAAGACTCAAAAACTTGATTGGTTTGCGATTTAAGATTTTTTAAATCTTACGACTTAAATTAGACGAAGAGATATAAAAAAAGGGGGTCACAGGAGAAGGAGAAAGAGGAGAGAGGAGAAAAGAAAATAAAAGATGATTGAAGGAAAGAAAAAGAAGAGAGAGGATTGGACAAGATAGAGAGAAAGAGGAGTGAGAGAAAGAACCGAGAGAATGAAGAGAGTGGATTGGAGAAGAGAGAAAGAAGAAAAGAGAGATAGAGATTTGGAGTGAGGGGAGGAGGGAGAGAAAAATAAAAGAGTAAGTTTAAGTTTAAAAACTCTAAAAACTTATTTTTTATATTTTTAAAGAATAGACTATATTTTTGAGTTAGTCTTGAGTTCAGTTTTTGAAAATCGTCATATCAAACACATTTTTAAGGCCTAAAACTTGAAAATTGTTTATGAGTTTCAAAAGTTAGATTCAAGTAGAGTACCAAACATGCCCTAAGCTACTTGATCATAGATATTTAAAAAGTGATGCTGAAGTACACCGTATTGCGCCTAATACCTGACAACGAAGTGTAATCTAACTCGTGAACGGGAAAAATGGTTCCAGAGGTCATGACCTACTGACCAGTCAGTCTGTTTATAAGTATCGAGGGCTTTAACTACTTCATGTCTTCGCATCTCGTTGATTCTGCCCCTATTAGGTTGTATTGTAGCGTTGTTGCGTTGAGAATTTTGAAAACGTTAACTGCCAGTTCTTTTATAATCCGGGATCAATCGAGAAATATTACAATCAAGGCTGCTACCAAAGCATGATCCACAGGTCCAGGAAATATAGTCAATCGAAATTTTCCCCTCTTTGGCATAAGCTGGTGCAATTTGTACATAAGACTCGTCTGCAGCAAGACATAACAAAAGCATTCAGACAATATCTCATAACCAAGAAACAGCACCTTACACAAACTTCTAGAGAGTAACATTGCAAAGTTCAAAAACCATAAAATCTAGCAACTTTCGACGTAAATGCTTATTTGCTAATCAGATAATTACACGCGACCCTTCATGAACAAGTTACCACAACAATCTTGTATGATGATCAAGTAACAAAGACGTCGCTCAAATCTTTATACACAGAACCACACATTTGTTGCTGAGATCTCAGAACTTGTTTCACATCACCATGCTATGCAAAAGCATTTAAATTCAAAAGAAAGGTGCAGATCCAAGGACACAACATTGATAAATCAACTTCCCAAGTTTTAAATTATAGCAATGATCCCATAACTCAACTTCCCCATTTCTATTTGACGACACCGCCACTCATATATTTACAACACTCTTTCTATAAAGCCAATGGTTGTGCTAATAAAGTTTAGAAACACACAAATAGGACCAGTTAAAATTCCAACAAAAGATAGAACGGAGGTAAAGTACATGTGAAACCGCAGTCGAGTGCCCTCTCCCGGGTTCCATTTTCGATTAAAAGTTTGTAACTAGATCCATTTGTGTATATTTCTCAGTAAACTTTAAGGCAACAGTCTTCGGAAACCTATTTTTGTTTAGAACTTAGAACATAGAAGGTGTATCAACTTTTGCAGTCAAATTCCCACCACCTAATAATCATATGCAAGCAACTCGGACAACTGCTTAACTTAACTGAAGTTTGTCAAATAAAACAATCCCTGGTTTGCTATGGCCCGTTTGAAAATGCTTCATAATAAACCATTTTGCTCATAAGCGCTTTTACGGGAAGCATTTTTGGTTATCCATAAGTACTTTTGGCCATTCTAAACACAAAAATTTCAACTCCAGCAATGGATTCAAATTCTACACAACATAAAAGCAAATCATACCTCAGCAACTACCTCATTGCCTCTGTAGATGGTGCAAGATCTCTGGAAAGGAAAGCCCTTCACTTTGAAATCACAGGCTGAATCTGCTGAGTCCTCACCAGCTAGAAACACTTCCAACTCGGTTCTGGTAAGCTTATTTTTCGTTCTATTCACTCTAAATTTCAAGTCTTTCTCCTCACTATCACCCCCTTTGTATCCTTCCCAGCATCCATGCTACAAATCCCAGAAGAAAAAAAAAAAATTCAGAACCCAAATGAGAAAAACAACGAGAAGTTTTTGCAGGGAAAATATTTTCTAGGGAAACAAAAAGGGGCCAGAGAGGTGACTTACATCTTTACGGCGCAAAGAAAACAGAGGATTTCCGGCGGCGTCAAGCAACACGCGCCTGTGAGAAGTCGTCTTCAGAGATTGATGGGTGACTTTGTAAACGGTGCTGCCGGAGGAATCAAGGAAACCCAATTCGCCAAGTGGAAGGCCGGGATGTTTCTTGGAGACAAAGAGATCGACCGGGATTTGTGAACTCGTGGGATCAACGGGGACTGAAGCTGGAATGATGTCAGCCATTTTACAGAAGCATGGGATTCATTTGAATTCAACTGAGTTTTGGGAATTTTGGGAACTGGGTTGATTTATTTGGTGTGGAAAGATCTGGGTTTTTGGTATGGGAGGCTGAAGAAAGAAGAAAGATTGGTTCTTCACATGGCTTCTTGAACTTTTTGACCGAAAAAGAAACGCTGGGGACATGCAATCAAGAGAAAATTGTAGTAATCATCGTTCAATTTTAATTTAATTAGAATAATGATCTCTTAAATAAAAATTCATGATCATTGATTTCTTAACTTAACAGCCTTTATCGTATTACTTGTTATCGCTTGATGATTTTGCCCTTGGTGTATAAGATTCATGATTGCTTTGGCATTCGATATCCAAAAAGCTAAATTCCTACGTCCATAAATTATAATAACTCATAATATTGGTAAAAGAAACATAACAATACACTTGTGATCTTAAACCCAAAACATTTTTCAACAAAATCGAGTATCACTCGACCAAATAATCAGTAGCTATCACGCATTCATTCGTACAACATCGTTGAAACAATGTCTTCGTTTCGATCTGTTCCATGTCTTCTTAGTTCTTCTCTGATCTACTCCCTGTTGACATTCCTATATCTCTTCTTCTTCTTTGATATACTCCCTGTCAAAGTAGAACTCAACTAAGAACAATGTATATATAAAGAAATAAACAAAATCAAAATGACAAAAGCCAATGATTCCTTACAATTAATTCTTAATCTTTGAACAAGATGTAAAGAGCATACGTGTTGTGGAAAACGTCATCTCTATTCAATTTTCTTCGACTTTAGTTTCGCTTTGTTAACATGTTTGATTGTTTTAAGGTGTAAAACAACCACGAGCTTAAAATTAGATTCTAATATGAAGTTAGTTATCGTTTTTACTTTAAATTTTAAGTCATTTTAGCTATATCTTAAACATAATCAACCATGTCAATAAATGAGATTAACGTTGAATGTATGCGAATACAAAAGAAAATGTATTACCTCAAGTCCACATGAGAATACATTTCAATTAGAAAAGCATACAATTGTAACAACAGACTTGGGAAGAACGAACTAAGCTTTTCTTCCACTTGTTCTTCTGTCTGCAGCAATTTTTAAATAGAAAATAATTAAACTTCTAATAACACATTAAAATTAGAAGAAAAAAAATTACAGAAAATTAATAATTATTTATAAATATACCAGATGTTCTTCATGGTCCAAATGATCATTAACCTCGAGACAAGCATTGCTTGAGAATTCAAGTGCTCCCCACACATTATTCTCATATTCTTTTTTACTCAACACACCATGAAAACCTTCCAATTCACCCACAGCTCCTTTGACATCAACGCTCTCATCCCACCGCAAGATGAACAGCTCTTTAATGTTTTTATGTTCAGCACATTGAAGATGTTGGAGATGGATCAAACCATCAATGTAATAGTGATACCTCTCGACGGACGATCGAAGGAGGGGATGATAAAGTAATTGCTCGAATCGGTACCTTAACATAAAAGAAGAAAAAAGATTCAAGTAACGTACTTAAAAAGCGAATTCCTGTAAATTACAAATTGATGCTTGTGCATAACTATCAGAAATGTTGACAAAATTTAACAATCTTACCACTCCCTTTCACAACGAAGCATGTTTAAAAAGTGGGACAACTCTTTTGTTCTTCTGCGATTTTTGCCGAGCATTTCTTCCATTAACCACCGAAATCCGTGTCTATAACTTGTAGCATTAGCATCGAAAATAATTGGGATGATCGCTTCATAGTTTTCATCGATTTGTATATCCTCTACTCTCAGGTAGCCACGGTTTACACCTTTCAACTCCATTCGAACAACGAACTTAATAACAGACCTTCACAATTACAAAAATATGATTAACAACATAAAAAAAAGTTACCACAGTTCAAAATTTAGTATCACAATATTCTGTGACTAAAAATATTACCGAATTATTTTTTGATACAGATGAACAACACGATTCCTGTGCCACGGATCTGTCTTCACCAACATCACACCTAAGTCACAAGGAAAATATTGGTATGTTGCCATTTTTTTCTCTGTCGAAACCTGATATTGTCATAGAATAATCCAAAGCACAATCACCCGAGTTAGAATTTCACCGTTTTTGTATATTAAGATAGTTTAGAACATCAAGAGAGAACTCGTACCTTTGAGTCGGCTAGAAATGTCTTGTTAATTAAGGATGGATGTTTCTTATGAAGAGCAGTAGGTGGTGAGAAGAAAGAGATCTTAATTAGAGATAATCGAAAACAGTTGTTAAGATTGAGTAATAATGTATAAAAATGGGAGTCTTAGCTTAAAAACACAAAACCACGACTTGACCTATGCTTGGCAAACAAGGAATTCCTAGTTTTACTCTCTTATCAGACAAGGCAAGCGAGTGTTTAGAAATAATTAAAACAAAATTATGATTTCTTTCTTAATTAAAAAAGCCTTGTCCAACAAAGCGTAAACTATTAATGGGGTGGACTTCGACAACAACAAAGGCTTATTCTACTAACTAGGATCGGCTATATAAATCTTAGAACGGCTTTGCACTCGGTTTTGCGCTAAGTTTTCCGTTAACTCCAAGTACCCCATGTCTTTTCTTAAGGCATTTGTTAAAGTATTCCTAGGTCTTCCTCTACCCCTTTTTCTCATGTGTCTCTATTTTCTAACCGGCGCATCTGCAGGTCTTTGTTTTTGTTAGTCTCCATCTCAAAACATTTCCTATACTAATTACCATTACTGCTTGTTATAATATGGTTGAGTGACAAATAGATAGTAACACAATGTGGACAAAACAATGGAAAAATGGACTAGCAACAATATAACAGAAGAAAGGTTTCCCTGGCCGTACTAATAGTTCCATCGCCATAAGGCTGTACAAAAGAAATTCATATTCACACATGTAACCACTAATCCACCATTAACTTCCGACACTGATTTACTTGTTCATGAGATACTACTGCAAACTAAAAGGATCCAGGTTACAATTCCTCGCACGAAGAAGATAGTAGCTACATGAAAAAGTTTCACCTATAAGACCATATTCCGGTCTTCACCATCATCACTTGGATCAACATCGTAATCAAAGTCATGGCCGTCATTGTTTTCACCATATATATCATCTTCAAAAAAGTCATTTTCTTCTAAATCCTCGGGTTCTGATGATTTGTCGCTGGAACTCTCCTTCTCTTCTGATTCATCATCGGAGTCTTCGTTCTCTGATTCCTCTTCTTCCTCTTCAGAGATCTCATCCGGATAATCATTGAGCGGGTTGTTTTCAGCTGAAAACCCCCCAAACCAGTTAGAGCAAGAATAAAGAGATCTCCTAAAAAGAGGATACGTGAAAAGATTGTTTAAGATTACCATTTGAATCATCAGATTCATATTCGGATTCATCAGGCCCATCATAGAAATCCTCGTCATCAACTTGGACCCTGTACCGAAGTTATTATGATCAGTTTAACAAGAAATTAAGGCGGAAGCATGAGAAATATAGTACACAAGATACTTACAAGGGGAATGGGTTTGAAGATAATTCAACAGCCATATCACTTTCCTCCTTCACAGCATACAAGTCATAAACATACTCATCTTCAGAATCTACAAAATACATAAGAGAAACCATCAAACAGTAACGAGAAAATAATGAGTTACGGGTCACCACTAGTATTAATACAAAGGCCGAAATCAATATACATCTCTACAAGAAGCAATTACAAGTGCGGACCAAGGAAAAAAATGCTATATAGAATCCTATTCTTCTACCTTGGGTCCAACTAATGTCACTATTAAATGGGCGGTAGCACCTAATTCATTTAAATCTAAAACCAACCTTGTTTGGAACTGTTAGTGTATAACTCTGATTCGATCTCGGAAGCAGCAGATGGGATGAACTCTCTCAGCAGAGGCAAGTAACTGTTCAAAATCTTCTGGTCCTCCAAAGATATTTCACTGCATTACAAATTTACAATCATAGGGAGTGTAATTTTCCAGTAGACTCAAGTACAAACGGGCAAGAGAATTCCATGACTAAAAATAACTTACTCCTTGGGGTTTTCAGCAACGTCAACACGTATAACATCATAGACATGACAAATTTCATGTAAATTCTCATGTGATGTTTCTTTGTTTCCTCTTCTGCTCCTCCATATTTGTTCAAAACGCGCATTTTTTGCCACAACCTATTAGAAAGGACTTGAAATGAGACAGCAGCCAAGAAAAAAATTGCAGAACAAATTTCCAAGTACACAACTTTTCATAAAAGAACACAAGACTTATCATGAGAAAATGCAAAGAATACAAGAAGCATGGACAGACAAGTAGTCCATGAAACACGTAAAATATCAGACGAAACACAAAAACTCATTGAGAAAACCTAAACCAACAGACAGAACAGCATCCTAGAAATCCATATGGCACCAATCAAGTAAAATCACACTAAAGGAATGTTCTTGAAATGTTTGGCAACGGAGATCATTTTTAAATCATCGTCATCAAGCATGTAGCTACTTTAAACAACAAAAAACCCAAACAAAATAAAAAATGAAAGAAAAAAATTTGTCCACTCTGAGAAACTTATTTTGGGATTACCTGTGTATGGCATTACGTGATTATCTAATAATTAAACATGGACCATATAATAAAATGGCATCAATAAGCCACATGTGGTTATTAGTCTTATTGTCAATCTATCATAAATAATGGTTTACAAACACAAGTTTTAATCCAAAGAAGAGTAATCCATGTTTGTCGCAAATATAAGTGTTAATTTTTTTCACAGAAACTAGCATAGTTTAAAGTTGCACGATCATAATTTGAAACACATCAGAACTCATTGCCTTACAATGGTTATTATCACAAGCAAACGATTGAACTGAGAACAATGGACAATAAACAAAATAAAAAGAATGAATGGGGCAACTGAATAAATAAGCCCAACATATGAAAATTTAGTGTGTTGTTATCTCTATAAGACATGAAAGACAAATCATACTAATGGAAACACAAAGGGATAACAAATCCTATACTTGGTGGACTAATGAATACAATTAACTTATACTATAAGTCTATATCACATACCTCCTTCCTCTGTCTGGCTTTAGACAAAATCAGATCTTGTTTCTGCTAATACAATGGGAATGAAATTATAAGTTCAAGTCATCTTAGGGACAGTATATTAGAAATCAAAGATGTAATAAAGTGTGTTAGACCAGGAGGAGGAGATAGATAGCTTACATTCTCCTTTCTCAGAGCATATTTGCGTTCTCCAATCTTTGTTTTATGATCACGCACATCACCAGAATTAGGGTCCTAGAGAAACAGTGAGACATTTTCACCAACCTCTTAGTAGTAGGTGACATGGGAATCGCAGACAGCATCTTGCAATGGGAAAAACGGACTTGCTGATTGAGATAGAGAGAGAAAAGGAATTTGTGGAGAGGGGACGGGGGAAGGGGTGGAGGGGTGGAGGGGTCACAAAACCTTAAACAGTAGATGAGTTACGTGGCATTCCCAAACACATGCTTATGTGAAACAGTTTACAAAACAAGAATAGTTATTGAACAACATTAAGAGATGGGCATCACCAGAAATGATTTCACAACGTCAACACTGGTACCAAAGCTGCTTACTGTCTCTACATGCTGTACCAAAACCTTCTTGGTTTTCAGTTCTTCTGCTGCATTAAAAATATAAGAAATTAGCACCATATTTTGTAAGAGTTCTAAAACTTTCCATCTTCTAATAAAATCTGCAAAATCACAAACCCCTACTCTAATCCAATGGAGACCACCAAAAATTGAAAGAAAAAAAGGGAACATTGTCAATCGCTAATAAACGGAACATTAAAAAAGATAACTTTGATCATATACAGCATGCTTAGTAAGTTATCAATCTACAATTCCATTAACAACTTATCCAACACCTCATAAATGACTTTCTTTGATGGGTACACCAAAGATTACGACTATTTAGTGTACAATGTTTGAACAAAACACTTACGTCGAAGTGAACAAAACAGTTGGATAACTTTTTGTTTGTCCAAATAGCAGCAACTCTAGTAACTTCGGCACACACATATATAAACAAAACAAAAATGCTTGACAAATACAAGCAAGTTACCCATTCCAGCTGAATCCATCAACGGCTCATTACCCTTTCCAGCTGAATCCGACATTGACAGCTTCTCAAAATCCAACAACGGACGCTTCGCCGGCCTCTCATTGATTTCCAGCCCTACATTGCACAAAGTTCCGAAATTCGTCACAAATTTCCAATTTTTTTCACACTTCACAAGTTCAAGCAAGTTCATTTTCCATTTTCCTACAGTTTCTCGGCAACCAAACAAGATTAAAAGAGAAAACTGGACACAAATTAAGTGCTACTCACAGAAAGCGTCGAGCGGGGACTGCAATGCCTTGCGTTTAACCCTAACGATCACCGGCTTGTCCTCCGACGGGTTGGGCGAAGCCGAAGAGCTCTCAGCGACCACCGCCATCATGAGCTGCGATTAGAAATTTCGAATTAGGGTTCCGGTGGAGTTGGAGACGATGAAGGAGTAGCGAGACGAGCGCGGACTGGGAATTTTGTCGTGTTTCTGCAATTAAGAAATGGAAACGAAAGGAAACGGTCGGGTCGGTTCGGTTCGGATCTTCGATGTATCGGGTTGTTGTGTGCATAGGCCCAGTAGTATGGCCTCTTGGTCTTGGGCTAATCAAACAAAGTGGGTCGGGCTAGTTCAAGTTTCTTTGGATTTTTTTTTAGGAATTTTTTTTTTTTTTAACAAATGATATTATCTTAAAATATCACAGACACAAGACTAGCAAGAAATGTACCGTAAGATTAAACGAATATCATATTCATTAACGTTGTTCTTCAATTTTTATTCCTATTGCAAGGTCTTTATAGAAAACTAAAGCTACAAGATTATAAATTATAGGCAAAAAATAAATAATAGAATATATTTCTTCAATTAATATTTCTAGTCCCCTATCTGCAAGCCTATGTCGTTGCCCGATGGCCCAATATTAAATGAACCTTCAAATTTCAAGGGACAAAGAATATCATGATATATTGTTGTTCGATTGTTCTTCCCCACCCCCCCCCCCCCCTTAGAAATATACCAGAGAAACCATATTTTGTTTCACCAGACAAGTGTCATTAAACAAATATCTGATATATAATCAGGTGTTGTTAAATAGACACACGTCAGACGTCTCACGTATAAACATGTGTCATTAAACAATTGTTTCACATATAAACTGATGTCTCACATGCAAGTTAATGTCCCACTCGAGGCTAAGTCAATTTAGTCCAAACTTATTATGATACATGGACCCTTGCTCTGTTTTTAGTTTTTTAGGGCTTTTCCTAGCTGGGGAGTGCTATAGTACTCGTGTTGCCATGGTTGAGAGGCTCAAATTCAATTGTAGGTTGTTTTAGGGGTCCATTGATGGATGGGACCTGGGGATTGTTTTTAGGAGATTGTGTTGTGGTGGTTATGATGCATACTGTTGCTTTCAAATCCTCCCAGAAACCTTTCAACAGGTCCACCATGCAAATTTTTCAGAATTTCTTCAAACCGAGAGGGCTCTCTCTTCCTTACTAAAATTTCGAACTTGGGTAGTCCTTGAGCTTCTTCTTCTGCACAAACCATGGTCTGCAAACGATTAGGAAATTTAACCTCTGTCAATTAGTAGTCCTTCGGCTTCGTTGGCACAGTCTAATAAACTGCTATAGTGTACTCATCGCCTCGTTTGTAAGACATTTTAAAATGATCGAGACCACTTTTGGTGAAAATATTTTTGGAACCAATCCCTAGTAAAAACGCAAGTGAATCATGGAAAAACACTTAAAGCGTTTCATAGAAGAAACATGAAACATTTTAAAGTGTTTTTGGAATCCAAAAAATATTTTCTCTAAAACGCTTTCAATCATTTTAAAAACACTTTGATTGAAATGAGGATTGTTAATCGTATATTTATGAATATGTGTAATGGTGTATAATTTGTATGAACTGCAGTGATCGATGAATTGATCACTAGCTAGTGGAAGTAGGTAGTTAGTGGAACTACCATTATGGCGAAGATGCAAATGAGGTTCATCCCCCTACACCTAAATAATAAGGAAAAACAAAGCACTTAATGAGCATGCATAATGTTCTTAATTATATACACAAGGTAAAACTACACCAACTCTACTCCGAACTCTTGTCTCAATTCTCTTATATAAAATAGAGCAATACATGGATTTTACACAAGTTTATAATAGAGTAAATTACACTTTACTATCTTAGGTTTGAGGTCTATTACAACCTCATACAATATTTTCAAAACATTTCACTTTCATACCTCAAGTACTATTTTATTTCAATATAATACATCCGTTACATTTTCTATCCATTGTTCCGTTAAGAGCTGACATGACTGCCACATTTGTGCCATATGGATAAAAAATAATTTTTTAATGCATTTAAAAATGATTAATTTAAAAAAAGTTAAAAAAAAATAAAAAACAACCCTAAAACCCATATTCTCCTCCACTCTCTTCACCTACCCTACCTACCTTCTCTCTCCCACTCCTCCTTTTTCACCTCCCCTAACCGATTCTTTCCCCTTCCCCGCAACCCGACACCACCCCCCCCACCCCCCCCCCCCCCCCCGCGGCCACCCCCACCTCCCCTGCAACCCCCCACCAATCATCCTGAAAATCCATACAAGTTGCAGAATTTATACCAAAGGTGGGCCCGCCATCACCGACATCCCGGTATTCATTCTTCTCATTGCTTGTGCTGCCTTTGGTGGCAGCGCCCTTCTTCTCATTTTTCTTCTTCACCTTCTTTCCTTTCCAATCGGCGGAGTTCAGAAACTCCTCCGGCACTGAGACTTGCTGCGAGGCAGAGGCGGCGCAGCCTAGGCCTCTGAACGACGACGAGGGAAAGTTTGTCTTTTTCTTGATGGTAAGGCTTATGGGTAAGGCTTCGTTGTTGTTGGTGGTGGAGGTGGTGAAGCTGGAGAGGAGGAGAGAGGAGATGATGGATTTGCAGCGGGTGGATTGTATAGAGAATAGTAGGGTTTAGGGTTTGGTAGGGAGAAACCTTTTATTTCAGTAATCAATCACATAATATGCTTAGCATATTGATACAAGATATATACAAGCCTATAGTTGACTTTAAGCAACATAAAAGGTAACTAATAACTCTTGATTATTTACATAAACACTATGGAGAGATTGGTGGGATCATGTCTTGACAGCAGATGCAGTGGAGAGATTGGTGGTGGAGCCAATACTCTCGTCACCCCCCTCAAGCGAAACGAAACAAAGTGTAGATTGAGCTTGGAACCAAGAAAAGAGAATCGATCGCAGGAAAGTCCTTTAGTGAAGATATCAGCGATTTAATGATGAGAGGAGATGTGGCGAGTTTGAAGGACACCGTGGGCAAGAAGCTCACGAACAAAGTGGTAGTCAATCTCTATATGACGAGTACGTGCATGAAACACAGGATTTGCTGCCATGTGAAGAGCAGAGACATTGTCGACGAAGATGCAAGGTGGAGTACGAAGCAGAATGCCTAGTTCACGGAAGAGATAACAGAACCAACGAATTTCAGCAGCTGTGGTGGCAAGGGCACGATATTCGGCTTCGGAGCTAGAATGAGACACGGTGGATTGCTTTTTGGCGGTCCATGTAAGAAGGTTCAGACCAAGAAAAATGCAGGCACCACTGGTTGATCGACGATCATCAAGGGAACCAGCCCAGTCAGCATCAGAGAAGCCGCGAAGAGTGAAGTCGTTAGAGGAACGAAATAAAAGATCGCGTTCAACAGTCCCCTTTATGTAGCAGTAGATACGTTTGACGGCCTGAAGATGAGTGGATTTAGGGTTGTGCATGTACTGACAAACTTGATTAACGGCAAAGGAAATGTCTGGACGGGTGAGAGTTAGATACTGAAGTCCGTCAACCATGCTCCGATAAACTTCAGGTTCTGAGAGAGGATCACCATCATAAGCCGAGAGACGCAAGGAGGAGAGGAATGGAGTGGGGCTGGGCTTGCACTGGTCCATCTTAAATTTCTGGAGTAAATCAGATGCATAACGACTTTGAGCAAGAGATAGGTGGCTGCCTCAGCGAGTAACTTCCATGCCAAGAAAAAAATGGAGGTCACCTAGCTTGCGGCTAGCAATGGTGGTACATAGTTGATCAAGGAACCTGTGAATAACATCATTGTTTGAACCTGTGACAATAAGATCATCAACGTATACCATAACATATAGGGAGTGTGTAGAGGAATGGTAAGTAAACAAGGATGCATCCGATTTGCTATGAGAAAATCCTTGATTACACAAGAAGGAGGCTAGACATTGGAACCAAGCGCGAGGTGCTTGTTTGAGGCCATAAAGAGCTTTGTGAAGGCGACAAACATACTGGGAGTGATTGGGATCAACAAACCTAGGTGGTTGTTTCATATAAACCTCCTCGTGGAGAATACCATTCAAGAATGCATTCCGAACGTCAAGTTGCTGCAAGGACCAATTGTGGGAGACTGCTAAGGCAAGAATAGTACGAATAGTACCTGGTTTAACGACAGGACTAAAGGTCTCGTCGTAGTCAACACCAACTTATTGATTGAACCACTTGGCGACAAGACGAGCCTTGTGGCGGTCAATGGAGCCGTCGGCCTTGCGTTTAACACGAAAGACCCATTTGCAGCCCACAATATTCATAGAAGGAGTAACAGGAACAAGAGACCAGGTGTGATTCTGAAGAAGTGCATCATGTTCCTCTTTCATTGCTTGTTGCCAATGAGGAATTTTGGAGGCTTGAGTGTAGCTAGTGGGCTCAATGGACATAGGATCGTCAAAGATAGCAGTTAACCCGTGAGGAAGGGGATGCTGGGGCGAGGTATAAGTAAGAGCATTGATGCTCCCAAATTTGCGTGGAGGAGTAGAATCGGGAGAAGTGACATGTGGCGTTGATGCAGCAATGGTGGTGGCAGATGACTGAAAATGTGCAGTTGGTGAAGTGGGTAAGGGCGCTTCAACAGCCGTGGATGAAGAGTGGGGAGTAAAAGAGGCAGATGCAGGTGGTGGAAGGTGGCTGGGAGACACAGGTGCTGCTGCAGGTGGTGGAATGGCGCTGGGAGACATAGGTGCGACTGCAGGCAGTAGTGGTTCCAAAAATAATGGTGGAGGAGACTGCGCAGGAGGAGGAGAATCTGCCATGCGATTGTGATACGGAAAAGTGAGTTCATCAAATTATACATTGTGAGAAATATACACCTCACCATAAGCAACACCGAGACAACGGTAGCCTTTGTAGTTGTTATCGTAACCAATGAAGACACATGGGATGGACTTAGGCATCAACTTATGTTTGTTGTAAGGAACCAAGTGAGGAAAACATGTGCATCCAAATGTCTTAAGAAACCGGTAATCAGGAACTTTGGCAAAAAGTTTTTCATAAGGGGAAACATTCCCAAGATGATGAAGAGGCAACCGGTTGATAAAGAATGCAGCAGTTGTGAAGGCCTCTACCAAAAATTTGTGCGGGAGATGAGATTGAGCAAGGAGACATAGACCCATTTCGGTAACA